GCGGGCCAGGCGCAGCCCGTACGGGCCGCGCGCGGGCCTGGCGCAGGCCGTACGGGCCGCGCGCGGGCCTGGCGCAGCCCGTACGAGCAGCGCGCGGGTTGTACGGGCCGCGCGCGGGCCTGGCGCAGCCCGTACGGGCCGCGCGCGTGCAGGACAGGCCGCGCGCGGGCCTGGCGCAGCCTGTACGGGCCGCGCTCGTGCAGTACGGGCCGCGCACGGGCGACGGGGGCGACGCGCGGGTCCCCGGGGGCGCTTCGGCGGGCGACGGGGGGAGAAAACCGCCGCGCGCCTCGGGGCGCACGGCGGGCAGAAAACCGCCGCACACCTCGGGGCGCACGGCGGGATGAAAAATCCGTCGCACGCCACGAGGCGTGCGACACACAGAGTAGCAGTAGCAGTAGCAGTAGCAGCGGAAGGCTTAGGTGGTGGGCCCACCCACAGGATCGACCCAGGAGGGTCGACCTGCTCTGATAGCATGTCAGAACTAGCTGTAGAAAGTAAGAATGAAGAAAGGAGGGTTTGCACTAGCAGCAGTTGGCATACATATAGGAAACCCTAATTGGGTTGTACTCGCTATAGAGTACCCCACTGCAGGCTAGAGCATAATATTCTGACACGCATCGTCCATGTCGTCCACTTGGTCGGCCAAAGCGTGAACTATCATTGTGTAATTTTGGATCAATGTCAACTGCTTCCAAGCACGCAGCTTCATGCGAGCAGAATCCGAGGCGGATACATGCTCGAATCTGGTTCGCAAGGCGGCGCCCCACTCCTTCCATGTGCGTATCGTGGCCACTCCAAAGGTCGATGTTGCCTGTTGCGTGACAAATGTCCAAGTCACGTTGTTCGCATGTGACATCCCTGCCGGATTCCCCTCTGACTAAAGTGCGCGTCGCCACCGCTCCAACGCCGGTCCTCGTAACAGCGACACTGCAAAATTAATGCGGGTGGCATCATCAGCAATTTGCGCAGCATTAAGAAAACCTCCATGCCGAACAACCATGCAGACAGGTGACGTTGTTGTTGTTGGGGCTGAACGGTGCCAGGTTTGTTGGTTTGATCTTGACAGTTTTAGAAACTGCTGCTGCCTCGTGCACTGTTGGTGCTGTCAAAGCAATTGCCGGCGTTGTCGCTTGTGCCCGCCTTGGCACTGTTCGCGACTGTTGCCTCGGCGTTGCTTGTGACTGTTACTGTTGCTCCGGCGCCTCTTGTGCATGCTGCTGCCTTGTCCGCCATTCATCTTGAGCGTCCAAGGAGCCTTCTAGCTCGCTGAGTGACGAGCTACTACTCACTTTGTCCATGACGGGCGGCTCCTAGCGCGCTTCACCTCGCTCCGTAGCTTGGCTACTTCCTTCACGCCTGGCGTAGCTCGACCTCCCCAGACATAGTCTGCAAGCTGGCCTGCATCGCCCGGAACTGTTGCATGAACTCGTCAAATTCGGCTTGATTCATGCTTCTCAGGCTCATCCTAATGGGTAGGGGCTTTACAACGATAATTATGACTTCGATGAAGGTTCTAACGCTAACGTAGTCAGAGCGAAATAACCGTATCTATTTCTCAGCCGACCACTTTGCAACCCACCAAGTCTATCGCACCCTATCACTAAACTATACCGAAACACGAACATAACCTAGGAAAGCAGCTCTAATACCAAGCGTTAAGAGTTTTAAATAAGAAGAATGCGCTGAATGTAACACGAAAGGCTATCTAGGACGAGGTCGTGGGACCGTGCATGGTCGGGTGCAGTTCGGGGTTGGAAAACCTGTTGAATTGTATTTGCATACCTTATAACTGCCTACAGTTAGCTACTGTACTAGATTAGTTATTAGATACCAACTGCTGGTGGTGTACTCTTTTCCCTTTCTCTTCTTCCTATTTGTATTCCCAACTCTATAATGAACCTCCTCCTTTCGGCAAAACCCTCTCGATACATCTCCTAGCTCCAACTCCCTTACTCCTAAGCCTAAGTATGGTTCTCAAGCTAAGCTCCAAATTTTGACATGGTTTCAGAGCAGGTCCTAGAACCTGTTTTATTAAGAATCATGGGCCCACCTATGCTGCAGCCCGCAATACGCCCCACCGCAAGCCCTTATGCGCGCTCCCTCAACCGCTGCTTCCCGCCATGTTTCAGCCTGGCAGCAGCGTGCGCTACGCACCAGCGCGCGACCAGCAGCGGCAGCGCGTATGCCCCTGGCCAGCTCGCGGCCGGCAGCATCAGCGCGAGCGCTGCACGCCAGCGCGCGACCGGCAGCAGGAGCGGACGCGCCTGCGCCAGCCCGCTTCCCACCGCCCCTCCACTTGCTGCGCCCTGCTTCGATGGGCGCTGTGGGGGGGAGGTGCCGGGTTTGGCACCCGAGGCTGCGGGGGTGCTGACCCTTTGAAATCCCCCCCGCCCCTCCCTTATCCTCCTCCCCGTCGCTGCCCGTGCTTCTGCAATGCGTGCCGCATTGGGGGGGGGGGGAGAAGAGGGTGTGGGGGTGGCGGGTATTTGAAGGCAGCCTCCTCCCCTTCTCCTCCTCCTTCCGCTGCACTTCCTATCCTCCTCCTCTCTCCTCTCCTCTCCTCTCTCATCTCCTCCAGCCGCCTCCTCCTTCGCTTGTTTGCTCCTCCAGCCGCTTATCCTTGGCTCTCCGCCGGTGCGCCACCAGCTTCCTCCTCCTATCCAACAGTTGGTGTTAATCACCAGCAGCCTACGCCCTCCGGTTATCCCAGCCCTCCTCCGCGCCCTCCGCACCCTCCTCCGTTCTGGCGTTCACAGGTGCCACCGGTCAGCCACCGTTGTTTCTGTGCCTATCCCAGCTACAGCAACCGCTCTCCAGGCAACCTGGTGCCAGACACCACTAGCTAAAACCGTAGACATTTACGTGGGTGTGTTGAATTGTATTTGCATACCTCATAACTGCTTACTGTTAGCTAGTATTCTAGATTAGTTATTAGTGTACCTTTTTCCCTTCCTCTTCTTCCTATTTGTACTCCCAACTCCATAATGAACCTCCTCCTTTTGGCCAAACCCTCTCGATACATCTCCTAGCTCCAACTCCCTTACTCCTAAGCCTAAGTATGGTTCTCAAGCTAAGCTCCTAATTTTGACAAAACCTAAAGGCGACGCGAGGGACGCTCCGAAGGCGAGGTCGTTGGATCGAACCTGAACTACTAAAGTTGGGAGTGTACGCGCATAAGGTGCCTCAGTAAGGAATTTATGCAAAATTTCTTTGTCATTGTTCCTTCGGCCTCGTGTCAGGCAGCCTCGTATCAGATTCGCGTCGAACCGCACTAAAACGCAACCAACCACAATCGAACACACTGAATCGTATTTCACCCAAATGATCAACCATTGTGTTCGGTAAAAAGATTTCCTTTGTTTCCCCATTCTCCTCCTTCACATTCATGTCATTTTCATGCGCCCTCCCCTCCCCTTACCCTTTTGACAATTTCGAAACAGATTCCGTTGCCAGGAATTGAACCCGGGTCTCTCGGGTGAGAGCCGAGTATCCTAACCGACTAGACTACAACGGATGTTTCCGAAGTGTTTTAGAATATTGAGATACGCGTTGTCGGAGCTTCTGTAACAATGAGCAATCCTGTACTTGGAACAATTATCATTTGAAGTCCCAAAGCCACAGGTAAGAAAGTAAATGACCAAACAAAAAGGAAGCGCAAAAGGACCATATCAGTGAGTACAACTTCCACAATATTCAGCATGGATCACTACACTACCACAATCTTGGTTACGGTACCTCTCAGGGGTACGACTAATTACCCCACCATGTAACCTTATCGGTTACCACTCAAGAGGCCTGAAAGTGACGGCACCTGCTGCTGCTGCATCTGCTCCTGCATCTGCTTCATCTCCTCAGGGTCTGGAGGGAGAGGGACAAGCAGGAAGAAACACACACGTGAACGGGCATGCGAACGGGCATGTGAACGGGCATGTGAACGGGCATGCGAACGGGCATGCGAACGGGCATGCGAACGGGCATGAGAACGGGCATGTGAACGGGCATGAGAAAGGGCATGTGAACGGACATGTGAACGGGCATGAGAACGGGTATGTGAACGGGCATGCGAACGGGCATGAGAATGGGCATGCGAACGGGCATGAGAGCGGGCATGTGAACGGGCATGAGAACGGGCATGGGAACGGGCATGCGAACGGGCATGAGAACGGGCATGAGAACGGGCATGGGAACGGGCATGCGAACGGGCATGTGAACGGGCATGCGAACGGGCATGAGAACGGGCATGTGAACGGGCATGTGAACGGGCATGCGAACGGGCAAGAGAACGGGCATGCGAACGGGAGAACGGGCATGTGAACGGGCATGCGAACGGGCTTGAGAACGGGCATGTGAACGGGCATGTGAACGGGCATGTGAACGGGCATGTGAACGGGCATGAGAACGGGCATGAGAACGGGCATGAGAACGGGCATGTGAAAGGGCATGAGAACGGGCATGTGACCGGGCCTGTAAACGTGCATGCAAACATGCATGTAAACGTGCATGTGAACATGTACAAAGAATGCGATAAGAATGGGTATGCATGAATGGGGGTGCACTCACGTATGGAGTCGGCAAGGCGGGGCAGAATGACCATGACGACGAGAGATGAGGCTAACGTGTGGTAAGAATGAGCATGCATGGGGGTGCACTCACCTATGGAGTCGGCAAGGCGGGGCAGAATGACCATGTCGACGAGAGATTGCCTCTATATTATCAAAGGTGTGACCCATTCACCCTATAGCGTTCTACACCTTAAGCATCATTCACTCACCTATGGAGTCAGCAAGGCAGGGCAGGACGAGCATGATAACGAGCATGAGACAAGCATGAGACGAGCATGACAACGAGCATGACAACGATGAGACGAGCATGACAACGAGCATGACAACGAGCATGAGACGAGCATGACAACGAGCATGACAACGAGCATGACATCGAGCATGAGACGAGCATGACAACGAGCATGAAGCAGATCATGATGCCCATGGGGCGGATGGTCATACAACAAGAGGTGCGCTCTGAGGCATTGTAAGGATGAGAATGCTAGAAACGAGAATGCTAGAAACGAGAATGCTAGAAACGAGAATGCTAGAAACGAGAATGCTAGAAACGAGAATGCTAGAAACGAGAATGCTAGAAACGAGAATGCTAGAAACGAGAATGCTAGAAACGAGAACGCTAGAAACGAGAACGCCAGTGCCAGAGAGGTACCCACCTGTGGAGTCGGCGAGGCGGGGCAGGATGACCATGACGACGAGCGACTAAATCTAAGCCGGCCACTCTAGAAGACCACACTAGAAGACAGAAGCCAGAAGACCACTCACCTATGGAATCAGCGAGCCGTGGCAGGACGACCATGACGACAAGCATGAAGCAGACCATGATGCCCATGGGGCGGATGGTGGACTCACAAGAAGACAGAAGACCACGCACCTATGGAGTCGGCGAGGCGGGGCAGGACGACCATGACGACAAGCGATGAGAGATGAGCCTGAGGTATGGTAAGGGTGAGTATGCTGAGCCAGAGGTCCACTGTCCACTCACCTATGGAGTCGGCAAGGCGAGGCAGGACGACCATGACAACGAGCATGAAGCAGATCATGATGCCCATGGGGCTCTTCACTATCGTCCATATGCTGAAGGGCTCTCGCCTCTGGAAGGGGGGTGGGGTGGGATGGGGCATGGAAGGGGAAAGGCACGGTGTTGAGTGGAGTCAGGCGGTCATGATGCCCATAGGGTTCCTTACGATCGTCCATATGCTGAACGGCTCTCGCCTCTGGAAGCGTGGTTGCAAGGGGGAGGGCAAAGGCACAGGGGTGACTGGTGCGAGTCAGTGATGAGTGGAGAGCAAAGGCAGGGGGTTGAGTGGAGCATGAAGCACATCACGATGCCCATGGGGCTCTCTCTATTATCGTCCATATGCTGAAGGGCTCTCGCCTCTGCATGTATGCACGCATTTGAGGATGGAGGAAAGTTAAGGGTGGGGGGGGGGAACAGGAGCATGAAGCAGATGATGATGCCCATGGGGGCTCCTCCTCACCACCGTCCATATGCTGAACGGCCTGGGTCTCTGCAGGTGGGGTGAAGTGAAAAGCAGGCGCGGATGGGGTTAGCTGCATGTACACGGGGGTTGATGAATGGAGTGAGATTATCACGACGCCCATGGGGCTCTACGCTCCTCACCCATGAGATTCTCGGAGGCCCACCATCTGTGCCTTATATGCAGGGAGGCTAGGAGGTCTCTGCATGGGACAGGCTAGGAGGTCCCTGATCACCATTGTCAAGAACAATAACCCTCCGCCTCAAGCTTAAGTACCCCTCAGCTACGAAGGGCGAGATGATGAACGGGTCGATTCGATGGACAGGCTTGCCTGCAGCCCACCACCTGAGCCTTGAATGCTGAGATCGATTAGGAGGCCGTTGATTACTATTGTCCTCGTCACCACAATCATCCTCGTCACCTCGAAGTATTCTTCAGCTGCGGAGGGCGAGATGCTGAGCGGGACGATTCGATGGACAGTCTTGCAGGGCCCTGCCATGCCTGCACTGCCCGCGGCCCACCTTCCCTTCCCTACCAACAATGCCTGCACCCTTTGAGCACCACATCTTCAAGACCCACAAGAATCCTCCTCACCTCATAATATTCTTCTTCACCTGCGAAGGGTGAGATGATGAGGGGGGATCGATGGAGAGGCTTGCAGGGCCCTGCTCTCAGCCCAACACCTGAGAGTCGAGTGCTGGGACAGGCTAGAAAACCACTAGATACCATAGTCAAGTCAAGTAAAGCCAAGAACCCTCCGCCTCACCTCAAAGTACTCTTCAGCTGCGAAGGCAGAGATGATGAGCATCGATGGAGAGACTTGCAGGGCCGTGCTCTCAGCCCACCTTCCCTGCCAACAGTGCCTGCACCCATTTGAGCATCACCGTCAAGTCCCGCAACCGCCCTCCTCACCTCGAAGTATTTCTCAGCTGCGAAGGGCGAGATGATGAGCGGGTCGACGGAGAGGCTCCTGCTCTCAGCCAACATTCCCTGCCTCAAATGCTAGAAGGCGTTTTCAACAGCCGCCCCCCTCACCTCGAAGTATTTCTCAGCTGCGAAGGGCGAGATGATGAGCGGGTCGATGGAGAGGCTCCTGCTCTCAGCCAACATTCCCTGCCTCAAATGCTAGAAGGCGTTTTCAACAGCCGCCCCCCTCACCTCGAAATATTCCTCAGCAGCGAAGGGCGAGATGATGAGCGGGTCGATGGAGAGACTGGCAGGGCCCTGCTCTCTGATCACCATTGCGCGGAAGTTTCCTGCATGCTTCGCACTGACTTGCAGCATGACCTGCGGAGGAAGAAAAGGCAGTGAGGGAGTAGAAAAGAAGGTGGCACAGAAAGGGGGTGCTGAGAAACATCATAAGAAGAAGCACAACATCATAAGAAGAAGCACAACATCATAAGAAGAAGCACAACATCATAAGAAGAAGCACAACATCATAAGAAGAAGCACAACATCATAAGAAGAAGCACAACATCATAAGAAGAAGCACAACATCATAAGAAGAAGCACAACATCATAAGAAGAAGCACAACATCATAAGAAGAAGCACAACATCACATCACAGCATGTCCAGGATAGCACGCAGACTAATGGAATCACAGGGCACGCAGAAGCAACAAATACAACACAGGGGACTCGCTGGAGGGAAGGGAATCCTAGTCTCTCAGCTTGAGCGCGAGCAACACTGCAAGGGAACGAAACGGCAGGGGAGCTCTTGTGTGATGGCCGGATGACATGGGACCTGGTTGCATGCAGGAGCGCAGCGCAGCGATGGCTTGGGCTTACCGGCAGGAAGAACGCTCCAGGAGCAGATACTTGCAGCGTGTGCGAGCCTGGAGGCAGGGCGCTGGGGAGGGGCGTGTGGGGAGGGAGGGAGGGAAGGAGGGAGGGAGAGAGCTCAAAGGCGATACAATAAGCCACCTGCAGTGTGTGTGTGCTGGGAGGCCGGGCGCTGGGGAGGGGCGTGTGGGGAGGGAGGGAGGAGAGATAAGAAGAGAGAAGCTTACATGGTACAGATGGAAACTCGTTAGTGAGGGGCGCGTGAAGAAGGCAAGGGAGGGCAAGAGGACAGAGTAATGCGGGGTAAAGCTAACTGCCATGCAAGTAAGTGCGGGGTAGAGCTAACTGCCATGCGAGTAAGTGCGGGGTAGAGCTAACTGCCATGCGTTTAAGTGCGGGGTAGAGCTAACTGCCATGCGAGTAAGTGCGGGGTAGAGCTAACTGCCATGCGAGTAAGTGCGGGGTAGAGCTAACTGCCATGCGAGTAAGTGCGGGGTAGAGCTAACTGCCATGCGAGTGCATTAAGGGTAGTGTGGTCGAGAACAGAGTGTTGTTGGGGTGGTGGGGTGGGGTGGGGTGGGGGGTGGCAGGGTATGGGGATTTAGGGTGGGGAGGGAGAGGAGGGCGCGGAGGGAGAGGAAGGCGGGCAGCGGGGAGGGCGAGGAGGGAGAGGAGGGAAAGGAGGGCGAGGAGGAAGAGGAGGGAAAGGAGGGAGAGGAGGGAGAGGAGGGCGAGGAGCGCGGAGAGGGCAGGGAGCGCGGGCAGTGGGGAGGGTGGGGAGGGCGGGGAGGGCGGGCAGGGCGGGCAGGGCGGGGAGGGCGGGCAGGGCGGGGAGGGCGGGGACTTCCTTGTGTGGGGAACGGTGGGAGTGACGCGAATGATGGGAGCCTTACATGGAGAAGTAGCCGTTGGATCGCACAAACGCCACTGAATCCCCGCCGTTGATCAAGATCTTCACAGCCGTCGATTTGATCTTCATAGCTGAGGGAGATATGAGAAAAGCACGGTTTGCGTGAGAGAAGACGATGAAGAAAATGAGAAACACGGAACTTAGGACGTTGGAGCACCAAACGGCTATTAGGTCGGTGCCTGGCCTAATAGTGTTCCGCATCATGCTAATAAAGGGGACACGAGGAAAATAAAGGGAAAACTGAACCTACCGTCCAGTCGCACGATCCACCACGGCACCGCCATTCACGGCCGCGGCGCTCGCTGCTCGGACAGTGGTTGCCATGTGATGTGTTACTGTATCGCATCATGCTAATAACGAGGAAAAGGAAACGAGCGTCCTACCGTCGATTCGCACGTAGCCGTCCACCACGGCACCGCCATTCACGGCCACGGCGCTCGCTGCTCGCGCCGATCCCGCTGCCGCCGCGATCATACACGCGAGCAGCAGCGACGACGCTACAGCTGACATCGCGGAACGGCACGCGAGACGGAAAAACGCCATTTCGAGAGAAGAATCGAAGAGTCGAATAGTCGATCTAGACTAGGATGGACGATTTTGGGGGACAGGCGATTCGACCGTGAGTGCTGACTGAATTTGTTGGTCCTAAGTGTAAAAGATACTAGTCGTAATCTGACAGGCAGATCTCAAAGCTTGAGGATCTATTTACACTGTCAAATTCCCAATTCACAATTGTGCGGTTTGATCGGGGTGGAGAATTAGATCAATTTTGAATTAATGGAACTACCGTGGGTTCGAGATTCACGAAGAAAGAAGTCACAAGGTGCGAAATGTTCTCACATCAAAATGAGTACGCGGAAGATTGGGGTTGAGTGATGACATGTGCGAATTATATAGCTGTTCGAAAATCGGCGAGCAAGAAGTGAATCGCAATGATCTCGACCACCGATCGTCCGTTCAAGTTAGGGTAACCACATTGCGGTGCGGAAATTAGCGAAAACACGAACACCACCTCAACTAGCACAAGCATATTCGGGTGGCGTGTGTTTCCGAAGCAGATAGTCACCATACTAAAATCTGACAGATCATCAGAGCTCAATACGCGTAGCGGCCGGTCGTTTTGAATAGCTCTGCTGTTAGCGTGGTGTCACCTAACCACACAGGAATTCCACCCACACGTGACAGCGTGATTTCCTTCCTAGAGGCGCTTCGCCCCCCTATCCCTTTCGCTTACAGACACCTGCGCGTAGCGGCCGCACCGCCACCCACTTAGCACAGAAAACGAAAAGAAAGAGGGGAGAAAAGAGGAGCGAGGAAGAGGTAAGAGAGGAATTAGGTAGGTTGGAGAAGAGGGGAGGCTGGAGAGAAAAGAGGAAGGAGAGCAGGAGGGGAAGGGAAGGAGGGAGAGTAAGAAAGAGCGGAGGTAAGTGGGTTTTGCGCGAACCTGTCGTGTTTTGTCATTGCCTTCAAGAACCTGTCTTCTCCTTCAACACGTACACACCTTCCGTTCTTCCCGTTTGCATCCCTACCATCCATCGCTCCCTCCCTCCCTCCCACCCTCCATCTGTTCGTCCACTTATCCCTCCATTCTGTTTGTCCGTCCGTCCGTCCATCCATCCATCCATCCATCCATCCATCCATCCATCCATCCATCCATCCATCCATCCATCCATCCATCCATCCATCCATCCATCCATGCATCCAACCACCCACCCTCCATCAATCCTCTTCACTCATTCCCATCCCATCAGCACGCAACCAGCAACCTGCGAGCCAACCTACACCCTTCTAAAGTCACCTTACACCGCTCTGCACCACTGTCTGCACCATCAGCACCATGGCGCCAGTCACATCCGCCAGCACCCAGCCGTGGGTGGAGAAATAGTGAGTGCGGGCGGGGGGAGCTGGGTGTGTGCGGGATGGTTGCGGCAGTGTGGGGATCGCAGCATTAAGGTTGGAGTGAGCTGCTGTAAGACTTCTTACCTGTGAGTGTAAGACGCCATGGTGACTTTTGAGGCGCCTCACAAGTAAAACTCCTTACCTGTGAGTGCAAGACGCCATGGTGTCAGTCACACCAGCCAGACCAGTACCCAGCCCTGGGTGGAGAAATAGTGAGCGCTAATCAAGGGGTTGGGGGTGTTTGGTGGTTGGGGGGTGTGGGGTTTGGGGTTTATGGGGTTTGGTGGTGTAATGGCTTGGTGTGTGGATTGCGGGTGTGTGGGTTGCGGGTGTGTGGGTTGCGGGTGTGTGGGTTTTCGGTTTGAAAACAGAAAGCGACTCACGCGACTGATTGCTCTTGTTTCATTACACTCTCCAGCCGCCTGAAGCAGATGTCTGACGTGGCACACCAGCACAGAAGAAAACAGCTCACCTCCTTCCTTTCGCGTGCTTCCTCTGCCCTCCAGCCGCCCAAAGCAGGTGTCTGACGTGGCACACCAGCAGGAGGTGGTGGCGACACTCAAGAACACACTGGCCACTGGCAATGTGAGATGGGACGAGATGAAGTGAGTTGCGATGACATGAGGGCAGATAGAGGGGAATGAGTGAGTTAGTGAGTGTGTGAGTGATTGAGTGAGTGAGGGGGAAAGGAGGGGGATCCTGGATGAGGTGGTAACGACACTCAAGAACACACTGGCCACTGGCATTGTGAGATGCGGAGAGGTGAGATGGAATGAGATGAAATGAGGGTGGGGGAGGGTAGGGTGGGAAGTCACGAGAGCTGGACTGACCATAATTGGCTGAGGTGATGGCAATGCTCAACAACACACTGGCTACCAGCACGGTGAGATGCGATGCGAGCCGGTGGAGAGGAATGAGTGAAGGGTAGGTAGGGAGTGCACGGCTGGCTGAGGTGGTAGCGACACATCAGAAACACATTGGGCACATTGGGGACCGGCATTGTGAGATGCGATGCGAGCAGGCGAAAGGGAGGGATGAGTGATTGAGTGAGTGAATGGGTGGGTGAGGGCGGGAGGAGGGGGGACGTGTCTCTAGGGTAGTGATGCTTGAGAACACTCTGGCCACCAGCAATGCGAGACGGGAGGAAGGGGAGGGGAGGGAGGGGATTCAGATGTGAGTGAATGCGTGGGTGAGTGATGGCGGGAGGGGTGCCATGCAAGTCACACTAACCACTGGCTTTGAGATGATATGGGGGGAGAGGAGATGAGACGAGATGAGGAACGCTTATACACCTGAGCTCTCTTCTAAATCCGCTCACCTCCATATCTCTTCTCCAATCATCCCTTTCCTGTGTGCCTCCGCACTTGTTCACACACCCCCCCCCCAACCCCCCCCTCCCCCATCTGCTCTCCTATGGTGCCCCGGGCACAGGGGAGCGTCTTTGAGTCGACTCAAAACAGGACCACCACACTGGCCGGCCTTCTAACACTTGCTGTTGCCGCTTCATACATCCCACCCACCCCGTCCCTCCCTATTTCCTTTTCCCGTGCAATGCCCCCTCTTCTCCCCTCCCCCCTCTTCTCTCCCCCTCTTCTCCTTTATTTCTTTTTCTCCAATCATGTCCCCCTCCCCCCAACCCCCCAGCTGCCCCATCTGCTCTTCTACAGTCCACCCGGCACAAGCAAGGCGTCCACAGCGCTGGTCACCAAGCCCTTGTCGCTTCATCCGTTCCTCCCCATCCCTCCCTCGCGTCTCCCCTCTCTTGTCCGCCCCTTATTTCCCCTCCTTTATGCCCCCCCGGCCACCCCTCCAGCAGCCCTATTTACTCTTCTACGGTCCGCTCGCCCGGCACAGGCAAAACGTCCACCACGCTGGCAATGAAGCACGTGATAAAAAGAGATGTTTTGAGACGTCTCAAAACATCTCACGCTGGCAGTGAAGCAACTTTTGAGAATTCTCAAAGGTGATTTCAATGAAGCACCTCCTCCCATAATTCTCCCCCCCTCCCTCCTCCCACCCCTCCAGTTGCCACATCTCCTCTTCTACGGTCCGCCAGGCACCGGAAAGACATCCACAGCGCTAGCAATCACCAAGGAGCTCTTCGGGTGAGTCATGAGTGGTTTTGATTTCACAATGGGTGGCTCTGAGTGGTTCTGTGTAGTGCAGCCTTGTGTGTGTCAACCAGGAAAGACATCCACAGCGCTAGCAATCACCAAGGAGCTCTTCGGGTGAGACATGAGAGGGGAGTTGTGTGAATGGGATACTAACAACTGAGTGCATGTCGATCAGACTCTAGTCACGGCCTTATCTGCTGATCTGAAAAGACATCCACAGCGCTGGCAATCACCAAGGAGCTCTCTGGGTGAGACGAGAGCGGTTCTGATTGAACGATGGGTGGTTCCGTGTGGTTTTGTGTGGTTCTGTGTGGTTCTGTGTGGTTCTGTGTGGTTCTGCGTGGTTCTGCATGCAACCTTGGTCGTCAAATAGGCAAGACGCTTGCAGCGCTAGCAATCACCAAGAAGCTCCTTGGGTGAGCCCGAGTGGTTGGCTTGACCCATGGCTTTGTGTGAACGATGGGCTCTTCGGATTGGCGAGGAGCCTTTTGAGGCGCCTCAAAAGTCGATTGGCTCTTCGGATTGGAGAGACGCCAGTGTCCAGTCTGTGTAAGGAAAGAGGGCGTCCCTGTGCCGCCTTGCTTGCTTTCCGTTGGTCTCCTCCACCCGGCAGCCCTGAGCTTCACTCCCCAAGCTGACTTAGAGTTGAGCATGTGGCCCGACCCGACCCGACCCGACCCGATTTGGCTAGGCATGAGCAGGGTGCCCCGGCGGGTCGGGTCAGGTGTTCTGAACCGCTGGCTTGGCCGGGTCGGGTCGGGTATACCCGGGCGGGTCGGGTCGACTCGAGACCCGATGTCGGGTCGGGTCGGGTCGGGTCGGGTTTTGACCCGGTTTCGGGTACCGCGCGCCTATGTCGGGTCGGGTATCTGGCCTGACCCGAAGGTTTCCTCTCGACAAACTTGTCCAGATCGCAATCGCGTTTGTTTTGTTTCACCGCGGCTAGCATTTCGATCTGGTTTAAGTTTAGTTAACTAGCTAGTGACGCCAGCAGCCACCCACCAAGCAACATTGGCATACTAATCTACCCTATAACCTACGATAATGTTTTGTTAGTACTCAACCAATCGTTTTTTATAAGTTATTCGCACTTAGCGCCATCCACTCAGGGGTTCTAAGGAGAGCCTCTAACAGTGTATATGGGGGTCTGGCCCGACCCGACCCGACCCGGCCCCTACCCGACCCGACCCGGCCCCTACCCGACCCGACCCGGCCCCTACCCGACCCGACCCGGGGGCGGGTCACGCCTGACCTGGCACCCGATACCCGGGTCGGGCCAGAGATCTTGAAAGGTCCGACCCGACCCGACCCGACCCGGGACCCGGCTGGCCCGCCCAAGTCGGGTCGGGTCGGGTCGGGTCGGGCCATGCCTGGCCGGGCCACACGGGCCGTCGGGTCGGGTCGGGTCGGGTCGGGCCTATTGATCATGCCTGGCCGGGCCACACGGGCCGTCGGGTCGGGTCGGGTCGGGTCGGGCCGGGCTCGGGCCAGACTCATGAAACAGCTGGCCCGACCCGGGCCTACTGACTC